ACCTCAGACTTCTTTGAAAATGGGAAGTGTTCAGGACATACAGCAGAACTCTTCTCCCCTCTCCCCCTGCAAATTCACAGAAGTTTCTGAAGAGGGGTCCAGAAATAGCCTTATGTGATTTTGATTGTGAAACTTCACATATTTGAAGAGAACTAACCTTGTCTGAGTAAATTGAGAGTATTTCTTGATGAAGTGACTATTTGTGAATTGTTCAGTTGTGAGCATAAATATTTTCAAGATTGTGAAGTGCTCACATATTAGAGTAATAGGGACCAGAAGTAACTTAGACATATAGCTTATAACAAAAAACTCAAAGAAGAACCACCAGGTCCCTGCAAAACAACAGTCTTCATTTGATCTACCCTAAAAAGCTGCTGTGGAGCTTTTATTTTTAAACTCTCTCTGTTCTAATTTTTCCGTGTCCCGCCAAGCCTTTGTATTGTTTCTCAGCCCTTTCCATTTTCCTGTTTGTTGATTTCTATGTATTTGTAGCAATAAATGCTCTACTGCAGGGCTTTTCAAACTTGGGTTGAGGGCCTACCTGGGTAAGCTGCTAGCGTGCTATGTGCAGATTTGTTTATCTAAGCATCCATAGGCATGGAACCTCGCAGCTCCCATTGGCTGCAGCTTCCCAGATTAATAGTATAACACTTATAACAACAGTGCAGTTTTTCAAACCAGTTATGCACCCATTTTGTAATAATTTGATCATTATTTGATCATTATTTCTCCTGCTGACCGGAGAGCAGAAAAGGGGCAGTTGTCCCAGGGTCTGAAATTCAACGGAGCCTGGAGCTCCCAGCTGTCACTGCCACAGCAGCCAGACAAAATTTTCTTCTCAGTTATGCTGGTATAAATCTGAAGTATTGCTTAGGGAGAGGAGAAAATGAATTTTTCATAACATTCAACGGCAGCAACCATCTGAGACAGACAAAGTAATGGCATTAATTGATTTCGGTCTAGTCTTGCAAGGTGCTGTGCTGAAGACACTTGACACTTAGCAGATGACACTCTGCAGTTTGGAAGATCTGGCCTTTGTAAGAAAGTCCTCCATTCAGTCTTCCCCAGCTCAGAAATAAAGTATACATTATAATGTTGGAAGCTGTCTTTTATGGATAAATGTCATTACCATGTCAAAACCAGTGGTCAATTTTTATATCAATTCGAATGGTAGAAAATTTTTGGTAAGGAAAGTATAGGAACTTATATTAGCTTTCTGGGAATTAATTGGGGCTTTCGAGTGGATGGAATGGATAACAGCTAAATCACAAGATCCCAAATTTACTCTGTGGCTACACAGGCTACATCTACACTGCATCCCTCTTGCGCAAAAGCCTGTGCTAATGAAGCGGGGATTAGCATATTGCCACATTTCATTTGCATCATTAATTAGGAGCCATTTTTGCGCTAGCAAGAGCCATTCTTCCTGAAAAAATGAGGAAGAATGGCTCTTGCATAAAAGGGTGTTTTTGCGCAAAACGGAGCTGTGTAGATGACTCCTTTTTGCATAAAAGCCTCTTGTGCAAAAACATCCCCTAATTAATTATGCAAATGAAGTATGGCAATATGCTAATCCACACTCCATTTGCATAGGCTTTTGCGTAAGAGGGATGCAGTATAGACGTAGCCTGTGCAGCAGAGCATTGCTAGAAAACTTCAAAATTGCTGTTGGGGAAAAGAAATGATATGAGGAGAACATACATCAAAAAGGAAGGAAGGAAAATGGCTAAAATAAACATGTGGACAGGAAGACTATATATCTCTGTAGTCAAATAAGTACAGTAAGATGAAGTAAGATAAAAAGCATGAGACGAACTAAGAGGTAGATACATGGGATTTTCAGCACCATGACAGCTTGATGTAAACAAGTGGGAAATGTTAGTATGGCATTTCAATACTGAAGGATATAGACCATGTAAAACTATCAGGAAGAGCAAGATAGGAGAATGTCTTCTATATACTGGAAAAATCAGACTGAAAATAGTTGAGAGATGCAATAGATCCATTGATGTAGAATCATTACGGTTTGAAAAAAATCAAAGACTTTGATATTAGGAATTTATTATAGAATGTTCTGAGGGACCCAAATAATGGATAAATCACCAAAATAAAAGCTGTTATAAAAAGAATAATTAAATCCATTTGGATCTAAACAAGATAGAATGTAAAGTCAAGATTGTAAAAAAGATGGTACAAGCCTCCTTAAATGTCATAAGATATTTATAAAGGGAGTAGAAAAGGAAAGCCTTGAATTAATTTTTAATAAAAATAATTTGGGACAGAGAAGGAGACGTACAAAATCAATTACCATAAACTAATTACATCTGAAAATAGGAGTAAATGGAAGTTTAACAACAAATGAAAGACAAAGGATGTTAAAGTACATCCTAATATATTCTGGAAGGATGCATAAAGGATCCATGAAGTGGAAAGGAACAAGGGACCAATGGGACACACTGGACAGCCTTGAAAAGGCTTAAAAATAAATTAATTTATGCTGGATGTTTGCAAAGATAAACTAGCAACCAACTCATGTACAAAAAGCAAGGTTGATTGCCAGAGAAACACCAGTACTAATTAAATTTGTGTAGTAGAATGTAGAGTGGAAAGGGGGACAGGAGAGATTGGAAAATAAAACTAAGAGTCTGAAAAAGCATTAAGAAAAGATAAAGAATGAAGACTGTATAAGAGATAACATGAATAACACAAACATCAGACGTATATTTTCTAGACAAGAGGAGATTGAAGAAGACTATGAGAGAACATATGTATTTATTGGCAGAGGGGACACATCAGCTAAATAAATAAATGCAATTTAGCTGGTTATGGATCTAGAAAAAAAAGTGTGTGAAGAATAGAGCTGTGTAAAGCTGCATTTAACGTGATTGGGGAGAAAGTATAGAATGTGGACCTATTCCAATGAATCTTCTGTTACATGAGTAATCCTTGCTCACACAAATAAGAATAAGGATGCACATAAGGATTTGAAGAATCATTAGTTTTGGTAATATTCTTGCTTAATAATAGTAAGTTTGCAGTATCAGGGTCTATGTTTATGGGGAACAAAACAGGGGGACCAGAATGAGTTAAGACTAATGTTTATAATGTTGATAATGCCATGGAAGACAGGAGAGATTAAGACTATAATGCCTATAATGTCGATCAGCAAGCTTGTTAGTGAATTATTTTCTTTCTTTTTGGCCCTATTCTGTTCCAACTTAACTCAATGGCAGTTCAGTGACAGAAACACTAGACT